ATAAAAAATAAATAAATAATAAAATAAAATAAAGTCTTTTAAAAAAGAAAGACAGAATCCCTGTACCTGATGAACTATTTAGTAGATTTTGAACAAACTATTACAACATAATTTACATTTTTATTTTTTTTTCTCTAAATGGCTACTTAATAATCAGTGAATCTTTGCATGGGTAGGCTAGGAAAGAATGATGTTGGCATACATCTTAACTGAAAAATATATTATGTGTGATATGTGATACGTAACATTATAATAGAATAAAATTTTCATAGGCAGAGATTCTTCTACTGCTCCCCTTCTCAGTACACAGCACCTTCATTAACCCAATTTCTGCTCACAGGAGGAATCTGGCTGTAGGTATTGACACCTCTCATTCTCGACCCTGAATCTCCCTACCCACGTCCAATCTATCACCAAGTCCTAGCAACCCTTCTTTCAACATTTAAAAATAATTCATTTACTTCTCTCTCCACGACCAATATGTTATTCCAAATGACTACCTGCTAAAGGCCCTGAAATGATTTTTTTTCATCACTTTTTAGAATAAAGTCAAATTTCCTAATAGGCTCTAAGGCTCTACATACTTTAACCCACACATAGCTCTTTAGGCCCATATGGAACCATACCTCCTCTCACTCACTGGATACACTGGGCTGTTTTCTTTCCTCCTTGCCACCTCGGGACCTTTTAACATGCTGTTCTCTCTGCCTGGAATGTTCTTCTTCACATTCTTAAACCCAGGTGTCTCCCAAAGTAAAAAGAACCTGAAAATCTTTAAATGCCAAGTGGTCAGAGAGGCCCCCCATCTAAACTAGATCCCCTGTTATATACTCTGGTACCATATGCTCCTCTTCTTCACATCCTTGTCACACTTTGTGCTTCTGTTTTAAATTATGTGATTATTTGATAAATAACTATCTCTTCTACTAGGCTGAGAGCTTCATGAAGGTGGGAAGAGTGCTGGGTTTGGAGAGCCTACATATTCCCAGCAAGTGACACAGTGCCTGGTGGTATATTCTACCAAGACCATTGCATCTCTATATGTTCTCCTTTACAGATACAAGTACGTATTCTTGTTACACCTTTAAAGGTTAATATTTCAAAGTGAAATGGAAGCTCTTAATAAATATAATAAATATGAAGAAACAAAGCCTTCTGACAATGATAGTATTCTCTGGCTACCAGGAGAAAGAACAGCTTTGCTCCACAAAGGATGTTCAAAATTATTCTAAAAGAAAAAGCAAATTTGGTTTGACAGAACTTTCTGTAGTCTAGCTTTTCTCTTCAATGCAGTGAAGTTTCTCTGTGATACAAAGAGATCTTCAGTGCACAGGTCATCTGCACTGTTGTTTCAATTCACTTATTCATGAAGATAAAAAAAATCAGAACTTGAAACAAATGTATTTAGAATACTATCATTGTCAGAAGGCTTTGTTTCTTCATATTTATTAAGAGCTATCTAAATGTCCTGATGGATAGCCAAATTCTAGTTATTAAACATTATGTCTTGTTCTTCGAGTAGGTACTCAAGAAACGTAGGGTGGGGGCTTCTCAGAAAAGCAGACTTCTATCTTACTTAGGTAGTTCAACTTCAAAGAAAGACCTCAAATCTGGAAAGCAAAACTGTCCTTGAGTCAAGAGGCAAAAGTTACGACCTTCCCTAGTGACTGCAAACATTTATTTTACCTGATAAGCAAATGTGAAGAGGAAGCTGACATTGGCAGAGCATTTCCCACCATCCCCTTTCATGCCTACCTATTTCTGACAAATCTACTCTGAAATCTAGGCTTAGTTAGCAGATCGCTTTCCATGTCATTTACCTTTTGGTTGAGCAAGTGGGAAGTAGCTGGTCATACAACTTCTAAAAGCCAAATGATCTTTGCATCCAAGGAACTGACTTAACTCCACATCCCAAATGTACCTTAGGTAAATGAATACAGCTTTAACAATGAAGTCAATCTAATATTACCTTTATATTAAATTCTTTTGAACAATTTCCCCAACAATGGCATTCTAGTCACACATCGAGAATTAGATGGTTGTTAGTCTGTGGCATGATTTTTCACAGAAATTAGCTTCCATAAAAACACTCAGTATCATTCAGTCTGAGGTACATCTTAGAAAAGAAACTACTAATGACAGCAAAACTGTATTTACTTGACTACTTCCTATTGCTGGTGCTAATATTCTAGCATTTCCATTCCTTTCCTCTACTCAGACATAGCTTAGAAATAATATCTTGGGAGAACTAGAAGAGTTAAAAGAAATAACCCTATATTGAGGTCTTTTCCTTTTGCTAAGAATAGTAAATACTTGCTAACATGAGAGTTACAGCACCATTTGATGAGGTATAAAGGCTAAAATATAATATAATAAACTATAATATAAAGGCTAAAATAAAATATAAGCAAAATAACATTTCTTGCTCTGTTCTTAGAAGGCGACCTGGATTCTCTAGTCATCTTAAACACTGAGAAACATCCTAAATTCATGCACAAATTTCAGTTCCTATGTTCCCAAACAGTAGTTTCCAGAAATGCAGAAAGGTATGTACCATGTATGATATTATCATAGCGAACTCTTCATGCTTCATGTATTAAAGCATGATATTTAAGAACCTGAATTGTGGATGCAATAAATTCTAAAATGTCTACATTCTATCTAATAGGTATGGGACTACCTCCAGAGACACTTTTTTTTTTAAAATAAATTATTTTACTTTCTCTAAAGTAACTCCTATATTAAAAATAGGAACTTTAGTAACCTACAAAGCATCCTGTATAACATAGTTATAGAAAACTCGAGAGTCTAGTGCTCAAAACTACACTTCTCAGGACTTGCTGATCTACTTCTTAGGAGTAGGAAAATGAAGACTTCTACAAAAACCCTAAAACATGATCTAAATATAAATCTGGAGGACTTGGCCTGTAGACTAAATGGTAGTCTTTTCTAGAAAACACACCTACATTTCTTTAGTGTGTCAAAAATCAAACTTTCAGCCAACTGTCCATGAATGCGAAATATATCATCAGTCTAGATAATTTTTTCACTGAGTTAGGAAACACTCTTTGCTATCAGCTGGGCATTTAGTTAAACCATGACTAAATGCTCTGTAAGATACCCAAAATATGGGGATACTCAAATTCACTGAGAATTCTCCCCCATCTAATTGATAAATTTGAGTACAGCTCTATTTTTAGATAACTGATTCTAGCCCTTCCAAATCTAAAGCTATGTTTATATTCTATTCAACTTCCCAGTTTCTTCTCATAAATTTACCCTAAAAATACTCCTTCATTAAAATGGACACATAAGAAGACAAAGTAAGTCACAACTCTATTTTCTTTTTCATGTGATCATGGTGCAGCCCAAACTCTTAGCCATTTGTATCTGCTGCAGTCATGGGATAGTCTTCCTTTGGTTACTTTTTGTGGGAATTTTTGTTTTCAAGATAAAGAAAATCTTTAACGTTATGGCATTGAGAATGTACTTCTAAAACCTTGTATTTTTTTCTAAGACACATTATGTCCACTCTTTACTCAGTGATTAACCAGGAGATGTAAATAACTAAACACTTGTTACCTACCAATTTCTTTTTGCTATATTTCCCTTTTCTATTATCCACTGTCCTAATTTTATGCTCAAACCTAAAATTATCTGCAAAAGAAAGCTGCAATCAAGACCTGGGTAAATAATTTCAATGTCTGACATTATACTGAATTTATCTTTTTTAAAATGAGAAAAAATTTCAAACATTTAACTTGTAATAAATAAACACTCTACACCATAAAAAGAAGAAAGGAAGCACTATTTTAACTCTGCAACTATTCATGTAAAAAGAGCTTTACCTTAATTATTTATCCAGTCCTGTGCAATCTTTCTGGAATTGTTTGGAATGGCAGATCCCTGTAACAGTGTTGACTTATATGAACCTTCGGGGATCTAGACAATGATTTAAAGACCAGTGGGCGTGAATGAGACAAGCCAATCATACCACCACCACCTTGCCCCAATAGCTCCCTCTGTCCAACTTGCGTCAGCTCTTAAAAAAAAGAGAGAGAAGCTAACTCAGTTTACTGTTGTACATTTGGATTAAACATCAGTTACACCAATTTCTATTTGTTTTTAGAATTTTGGCTTTTATACAGCAAAATACTCACTGACAGTTTTATCTTGATTGGTATCATTCTGTATTAAGACGCTATAGGTTGGTTGATAAAGCTTTTAGAAAATTAACATTTCCAGATTTACGAACTGAAGGCAAAGTATAATAATATAATAACAATAATAGTTATGGAGTCATATTATTTAATGAAACATTATAATCAGAATGCCTAGAAAATATTAATTATAGAGGAGAAGAGTTATTTTCCTTTGAATTGCTGGCTTATTCAGAGGAAACTTTATGGAATGACAGACTCTTACAAATGGCACCAACTCTTCAAGGCACCACAAGATTGAAAATTGTCAGTTCTATCCGCCACGGTTACCATTTCAAAGGCAATGTGCTGAGTAAGCAAAACACTGTTTGGAGTTTTTAAAGAATTTCTAAATGAACATTTCGTCCTTTTCAAAGCAATCTATGTGGCTTTCCGAACATCAGAGAAGGAGTTAAAATGTGTTAGCATATAATTTATTCTGTTATGAAAATGTATCAGTGAGGTGAGAAAAAGATTAAAAATCAATCCAGAATTAAGGGTTCTTTGCCTTTTAAATATTTATGACATGAGTGAACAATCTGATGACCAATCAGAAGAAATGCTGGATTACAACAGGTGAGTCAACTCCCGATTTCCATAAAAACACAAGTAAACATTGTTCTTTGAGTAAGAAATTCTTAAGCTGATGCAAGGCATTAAATATTAAGTAAAAGGTCCAGTTACCTATTTCTTATTTTCTTTTCAAATGTGCCCATTTGGTCTATTAACTTTTATATGGTATATTTGCTTGTATATTTCTCTTGTTCTTTTTCTTTTTTTTAAGATTTTTTTTTTTTTTAATTTATTCATCTGAGACACAGAGATACAGAGAGAGAGAGAGCATGAGCAGGGGGAGAGGCAGAGGGAGAGGGAGAAGCAGGCTCCCCACTGAGTCAGGAGCCCAACGTGGGGCTCGATCCCAGGACCTTGGGATCATGACCCAAGCCGAAGGCAGACGCTTAACCATCTGAGCCACCCAGGTGCCCCAGCTTGTTCTTTATTTTTCAGAATTACTCTGTAGATTTGTCTTTTATTGGATGAAAATTATTATGGTCTAAGAAAAAAATGTAATGAATGTATTAATCTTAATTTCAGAAAAATTTAAAGAATATTCCTTTTCAAATTACTTCCATCATTTAATTGTGAGCTTTCCAACTTAAGATTTCTTTCTTTTTGCAAAGTTAACGATGAAGCGAGCAAAAACCTGCACTAATTGTTAGAAGATTAAATACCTGTCTTCTAGTAAAATTCCATTTCACAGTGGGTCAACGAAAAAAAAAAAGGATTCTAATATGTGAATTTCATACTATGATATCTTCATATAAAAAAGAATAGAGCTAAATGTCTAAGTACCTAAAGTTTTACCTCTCTTAAAATTTTAAGTTTAGATTTCATTTATAATTTAGATCTTCTTCAAGTATACTAAATTATAGTAAATTAGCATATTAGATTAAAATAAAGAGCACACTTAAGAGAGTTCTATGAAGGGTCTTATATTTCTTTTGAACCTATTCTAATTGCAAAATTCTTATCACAAACTTTCCTAATATTCACTTAAAAATCAAATACATACCTTGAAAATTAATTTGACAAAAGTAGCTGAATTAAAATAGCTTAGGAATTTTGTTGTCTATTTTCTTCCCTCAGTTTTTGAAATGTTTATCTATGTTAATTAATGAATAAATGTATAGTCTGGTCTTTACAGAACTCATTTTAAGTTTCCATTCATAAGGAAAACAGACTTAACAGTCTAGTTTAATGTTCTGCCTGTTTCTTAAAATCATACATGATGTAATTTCATATACACTTGGTAATAGGTCTATGCTCTTTTGATTTTTAAAGCATGGCAAATGCAACATATTCATTTAGTCTCTGATTTGGTTCCAGGACCACTGTAGAAAGAAGTAATGAACCAGAATATGTACCAACTTACAAAAATGAATAAAATGAAAAATATGTGGGTAGTGAATAATGAAGCAAGTCTGAACAAGAAGATTACAAACACTTTAACTGATCCTTCATATAAGGAATTCGTATAAGTACCACCAGGAACAGATGCATGGGTGGGTAGGCAGGGAGGGAAAGGGGGCCCAAGGGTAAGATATGCCCAGGCTTCCCAGACTATAACACAGTTAATGTCAGCAGATTTGCCCAATATTCTCCAGGACTCCAGAAGATGAAGGGTCCCCTGGGGAGGCCATCCAAGAAGGCATGAGGGTGCCCATGGACCTTGAGGGGGGCCTTAAAAGTCCACATGAAATCCCAATAGATAGAGAGAAAAGGGAAAAGCATCCTGGGTGAAAATTGTAGATAGGCTAAAGCATATTCTGGCAAGAGTGAGAACAAGTCTGGCTGCAGCGGAGACTTTCAGGGGAAAAAAAGAATAGAGTAGAATAGAATAATCCAGACTGTAAAAGCCATGAAGTCTAGGGATCACAGAATTTTAGTGACAAGGATCTCTTGAAAGCTTCTGAAAAAAAGAATCATAAAATCAGCAGGGAAGGAAGGGATGCAGGTAGGAAGATGGGATGGAGATGGAGGTAGGGACATGGAGGACAGTGAGGAGGCTGAATGGTAGTATGGCTCTGGTTATTTCTGCTGTTATTCTCAGATAGGCAAATGAAAAGGCAGATGGAAAGGATTTCAATTGAGGTCAGTGGTAGTTTGATTCTTTCTTGTACTGTTTCCATTTATCACTTTCACTGGCTCACAATACAGGCCACGAATTGTATGTGACTATTTTATGAAAAACAAGAAACTTGCAGTAAAATCTTCATTTTCCTTTATGTACTGAAAGAGACTATATGGTGATTACTCATCCTCTTCAGCACCCCTTCCATCCATCTGGGTTATCATTTTCAAATAGTACAGAGAAGGTCTTAAACGAGTGTATATCCCAGTATCTTATCTATTGAAAGTACAAAACTGTTGGCTCAAAATGAATTCAGATCAGACCTGTGCACTGAATCAATATTTTTCTTGCTCATCTTTAAAATACTTGATCATCTTGTTTAAAATTTCTACCTTTAATGATGTCCTCAAAGAGAAAGTTCCAGCTGGATCAAGGCAAAATGAGTCAACAATTAAAAAAAAATGCCTTAGCCAGACCATCATGGCATTTTGCAATGACCCTGAGAAAGATAACCTCTTGTTTTCATTGGGACTGCATCCAAATTTCTAATATTAGTCATGGGACAAAATAGTACTTGGAAATAGGAACAGGTTATAGTCAAACTGGAAGATGATGGGTAGAAACAATAATGACTAAGAAACCAAATTACCTAATTTTTAATAATTTTGTATTGTGTCTGTATCTGCATTTACTTCCTTTTCTTTACTCCTACTTCAACTTCTCTTTAGGTCCCCTACATTTTTCTTCTCTTTCTCTTTAACTTTTCTATACTACATTCTTTTTGTGATGTCTTATTTTCTAAGAAGAGTCTCTTAAAATTTTATTTATTTATTTATTTATTTGAGAGAGAGAGAGTGCTCATGCACGCAGGGTCGGGTGGGGAGGGGGAAGGGAAAGGGAGAGAGAGAATCTCAAGCAGACTCCCCATATGGCATGGACCCCAATGCGGGGCTCAATCTCACGACCCTGAGATCATGACCTGAGCTGAAATCAAAAGTTGGACGCTTAACTGACTGAGCCACAAAGGTGCCCCAAGAAGAGTTACTTTTTTATCATTTTCAGCCTTTAGCTTCAAAAACTCAAAATCTAAGAAAATAGATCAACTCCCAAGACTATATGTCTGTCATCCTACAGTCAACATTAGTGCTTCCAAATATGGACACTTACATTAATCCAACTATTTATCACACTGTAGGTAAATGTCTATCGGATCCACCAAGTCATTCCCCCAAGTGAAAGATACCAGCACAACTGCAGTTAGAAACAAGATCTTGATGACTTCTTTTTGACATAGAATTTACTCTCTGGATTTTGATTTTCAAACTTACAGTGTTGAAGAGAATTTGTGACCTTTTTTTGATATCATGCTTTGACACTCCAAATTCTTTATCTTTTTTAATATGGATACATGCAAAAAAGGAAAAAAAAATGCCATTCTGAAATGGTACAACAATCTTCCTAAATTATTCAAATAGCAGGATTTCATGTTATCCTGCAGGTGAGTTGAGTACTTATATCCTTGTGCTACTGCAATCTTTGTGTCATTTGCAGAGTGATGAAAGCTTAGGTGTTGCTATAGGTATCTCTTTTCATGGTTATATAATTATTAACCTCAACTTACAGACTAAAAAATATGGAATAAAAGAGATAAAACTGGATATTACTCCAAAGAGCCACCTGCCTAATTAATTGTAGACACAGAAGGAAAGATTAATACTTTTCTAATTCTCCTTCAGCACAGCCTCTCAGATATCCATGGAATCTTAGGCCACTTCCATTTTTTGAGTCTCCAAATATATTTAAAAATCCACTTAAATCCAATACAGTGTCACTAAATTGTAGTACATTGTCAACATGTCCATTTAGCAAACTAACACCTAAATGCACATACAATACAAGTGATTTTCAACAGCCTCATTTGAGGATATCTTCAAAAAGTCTAAATTGGGGACACTCTCAAATATGAGGCTCCAAAAGGCTTCCCAGCCCAGGCCCCTGGGAGAGGCCTTCCTTTTCTGCTCTATAAACCTCCCTGGCCAAGAAAAATGCAATGACCCCTGCATTCTGAGGAAATTGCTTAGTCAATGGCAAGCCCCTCTCTTTTTTTTTTTTTTTTAAGAT